TAAAATTCTCTGTGCACTTTTGGTTCGGTTGTCATGCAAAGCATCGTTCACAGGCAACACACACAACAAGAAAGTCACTCCCCCGCTATTCAGCCTTTTAATTTTACATGAATAAGAATCCCGCTGTGCGAGACGTGTGGGTGGACGAACTGTTTGGCCATTCTAAAGTAAAGTATGTACATAAGTACAAAGGAAAGGAGGAAAATGTGGCCTTACGAGCTATCACAAATGCCTGCTTCTGCTATTATCGCCATCCATGTATTTCCTTTACAGTTTTCTGTTGTTAATGCTTCCCACACCTCGGTTTTGTTGCTTAACAATTGTTGCACAAAAACACATACATATGTATGTATGTATGTACTTGAGTACGTAAGTGTGCTTGAATAACAACGAAAACGGTCAAATGGGTTATAAAATGCGTACCTTTTATGGCTTATTTGGCACAATAATTTCACAGCATCCTTTCGTTACCTGGAACCGTCATCGCAAATGAACGAGTATGTTTTTATATATGCTCAGTAGCGGATTTGCAGTCTTGTCCGCCCTAGGCCCTTTAGTACCAGTCATCCCTTTCTCTGCTCCCATTATAATGAATAATATTTCAAATTTTCATTTGAATAATTATTCAGGTACTACATATGAATTTACTTTTTTGCCACCTTTTATCGAAAAGTTGTCGCCAGTCTATGCTTTTACCGACATTCTACCTGTTGCTCGTGGAATATAAATGAATGCATATAAATAAATGAATATAATAAAATGCGGCTTCGAATTCGACAAATAGATGCTGCATATCGATACTTATCTTGTGAGTCTTTTTCAAGGATTTGGAGTATTGTGAATATCTGCTCTGTGGTGGACATTGCATCATTTCACTTAACTTACATAATAACCTCATCTTAGTTAACAGATGGGTGGCAACCCTATTTAAAAACACGTTAAGCTAAAGCTTATGCGTACACCGTTTATGTGATACGCATATTGTGGTATTAAATAAGCTTACATTTTTAATAATCATTGTTCTATTTTTGGTAGAAAGGTGGCAACCCCGTTCGAAAATTTTTTTAAATATCTTCAAATGCTTTAAGTTTTGGCGGAAATACTTACATATTTTATTTACCTTTCAATAATTTTAAATTTTCAAATATCTGGCAACCCTACTTTTCAAAATTTTTTTACCACAAACCTACGTAAACCATCGTGTAGAATGCAAAAAAGAAATAAATACACCCATTGAGCTGTTCGTGCGTGATGTGGTTATGAAAACATGAAATTACTAATTTTTGTATAAAACAGAAAGGATTTTCGGCTATTAAAATATACTTAGTAAAATTTTTAAGTTAAACAAGCATCATAGTGTTATTTTTTAAGGAGTTTTGAAGGCAAGTAGTCCTATTCGATCAAAAAAATTTTATTTTTAATGATTTTATAGCAAGTTTACAAAAAAAAATGTATTCTCCCCATGTCAAATACATGGAGAACTTAAACCCCCGGCGGTACGGGTAAATATTAATCGATTTCAAAGTAAAAAAAAATATGAGTCTCCTTATTTTTGATATTCTTCAGATCTGGGTGGTGGCTGGAGGAAAAAAATTTGGACCACCCTAATGTATATGTACATTACATACTCGTGTTCATCCAGGTGACTACATCGGCCGAAATAGGAATAAAACTTGCAACATGCAACTGCAGACTAAGTCTAAGCACTTTATTTTGGGTTTTTTTACCTAAAATTCATTACCCAGGCACAGAAGATAAGTTAACATAATTGATTGAAAATATATATATTTTTTTTGACCGAAAAAGGTGAAATAGTCACCCCGATGACTCGTCGGTTAAAATACGGAGTATTCCAGATGCATACCCTGAAATCGTAGTCACAGAAGCGTTTTCATTGGCTGTTACCAAAATTTAATTGTGCGTAGCAGGATCTGTCCACAATCAGATCCTGAAACAGTATACTACTTACGTCCAATGAAAAAAAAGAAAATTGTTTAGCCTGGACGACTGCGGAACATGCTAAATGGCTTATATTGATTAAACTGCATATAAGCATATGCATGTATGCACATTAGGGTGAACAAAAAAAAAGAGTTTAAAATGTTAAGCTCTCACCACCTGGGATTTTTCTAAATGGAAAAAAGAATACCCGTATTTTGAAAAAAAACCCTTTTTTGTAGAATTAGTATTCGATCGAAAACTGTGGTTTTCTTCAGGAGACTATTACCATTTTTTAACGCTAACAATTTTTATGGGTTCCCCGTCGCCTTTTTTTTGGGTTTTGGGGACCTATCAAAAATAATTAGTATAAAAATATGGTTAAATAAACAATTTTGTATTGTTATTGGAAGTCTCCTGAAGAGAAACGGAGTCCCTTGATCGAAAAATATTGATTTTCAAGAATTCCTTAACATTTCTACGAAAGAGTGTTTTCCCCATACATATAAAATACATACATGGGAATCTTCATGTGATTAAGGCAGTTCTAAATATCTTTTTCTTAATAAAAAATACGATTTTCTTCTTTTCCATTTAGCAAAATTCTAGTGGGAAAACTTAACATTTTAAACATTTCCTCACCGCATGCATTTCTGTGCCACCCTAATGTATGTATATACAACAAAGCATCTCTTCGGCGTTGTAATACAATGGGAATACTTTTGATTACCTAATGTGTGTCCACATATTCTGCAAATACCATTTTACAACCTTTACATTACTTTGCTCTTAATGCGTTAATGGCTACATGAAAAATTCGCGCCGAATGCTACTATTACATTCATTTTGAATAAGAAATGATGCAGACCGCACCCTGGTACGACCAGTGGTCGGTTGCTTCTCATCCATTTAAAATTTTTAAATATACACCTGCAGCCATAACCTTTTAGCGCTACCAGTGTGTTCCTGTTTGTGCGTGTGTAGGCTATTAAAGAAAGAGTGTGTGTGTGTATGCAGTTTTAAAACTCATCTAAAATGGAAATTTGCTCATATAAATTTTATTAAACGCGCGACCTTTTTAACGTTTCACTGACTTTTCTTTCGTCACCTTTTTTCTTGCAGCCTTCGTGGGTCCTTTTTAACTAAATAAAAGCGAGTCTTCCGTTGCATCACCAAAAGTTGTTCACTGTTATTTTTGTTGAGAAGTAATTCGGTAGTTCTTCTTGCGTATTTTGTTTTTGTACTCGTATGCCTTTCAATGCGAATAAGGAATACACATACAGCGATGGATGATAAGCGAACGATTGGGAAAATGAGTAAAAAGCGAAAAATCGCGTTTAATTATGCAGAGGCCAAGTTGTGTAAGACCCGAGTGAGGCCGCCAGTTGCCAGCGAAACGGTGAACGACATTGCGTTATTCTTGTTGGTGGTACTTGCCATCATTGTCATTGCGTCAACCAAAACAGGTGAGTCTGAAATGTTTAATATAGCTACTTATGTGCATACAGATGAATATATAAATGTGTAGCCACTCGTATAAAAAATGCTAGCACGTAATACATAAATACATCTGAACGTTAGGCTGGACATTTTTGTAACATCAGTTTATATAAATGAGCACCAGGTTGGAAAATTTTCACATTTTACTTTGAGAAACCATCTGAAAAAGCTGCAGCCAGTCTGAGAATAATAATATTCCTAGTAACAAAGCCCACAAAAAAAAA